TAAACTATGTCTGTATTTCTTGTTGTCGACACCCAGTGGGCTACCAGTTCATCCCTAGAGTTAGTGTGTCATGTTCAGTAGTAAGCAGCTAGCCCACAGATCCGGCATCTCAGGAGGACACCCCCTAGCAGGATAAATGACACAATGACAGTGCCCACCACTGCAGAGTGATGGGCACTGTCGCCTAGAACCCAGATCAGGTTCAGGTAAGAGCTCATGAAAGAATCTGTGTGTGTGTGATGAAGAGTTGCTCATAGAGTCAAATCTTAGTAGTGAAAGCCTTGCACCACCCCTTCTTACATTGAGACTTCAAACAGACTTTGATCCACAGTTGCTAATCAGTTGAAATGTTTTCATTCAAGAAGAACTTTTCTTTTACCTTGGTTAAATTGTTGGTGTACAAAAGGCAAGGTCCAAAAAGGTTCTGAGATTCTTGGAATAACTTTGGATTCTCTAAGAAGACAGAGAATAATTAATTTTTTTTTACATGTTAGACTTGAGAGGGCCAGCCTGGTCTACACAGTGAGTTCTAGGACAGACAGGGCTGTGTGGAAAGACCCTACCTTAATAAATGAATAAACAAACAAAAACTAGAACTGAGAAAACATAGCCAGAAATAGTGATGTATGCCTTTAATCCCAGCCCTCAGGAGGCAGAGGCAGGCAAGGCAGATCTCCCATGAGTTCAAGGCCAGCCAGAGGTTCTTGGTGAGACCCTGTCACAAATAAATAACAAAATAAAATCTGAGAGAACATGAAAGCATCCTAGGTCATTTTACTGTTGACAGTTTCTATATAGCTAATGTGTGGAGACAGAAAACTTGGAGGTAGCTTGACTCTCTGTGAATGCAGGGAACGAAGGTTGCTGCATAGCCTCTTGTGTGTTAATTCCAGAGGGACACAATTTCTGTGATGTGTCATGGAGAGTGTCATTCGGTTCCTTGTGCTTCCTTGTGCGTATCTCTCAGTTCTAGGCAGGAAGGCTGCTGCTCCTTGCAGATAGCCAGTGCATGACTGAGCCCGAGGGCCTGATGCTGTCCTTGCAGAGCCTAAAGCTCAGGTTCTGTGCACAGATCAGGGTAGAGAAAGGGGTGGTTAAAAGTGGAGACGAACTAACCAGCAACATGGCCCCTCAGAAGCAAGGCTAATCCCTGCAAAGGATTAGAAATGCTTCCCAGAGAAGGGAACTCTGAGCTCAGTGTAGAGAGAAAGGTGGTATTGGAAAGAAAGTGCCCTTATCTACGGGAACAGCTGGTGGTGATGAGAAATACTAGTAACAGTGGTCATTCCTGTCTCTCAGTGTCCAGCAACAGTGAAACCCAAAGTGACTGGGAGACCATCAAGAGAGCAGACGTCCCATGAATGCCAGCTCTAGGTGGGCCCCATTTGCTGTAATTAAACAGATCAGTTTTAATACTGAGTCACAGGGGAGCAGGAGATGATTGGGGCAAAGCCCTGTGCTGGTGTGTATGAAAGGGTGTGGCCTGGACAGTGAAATAATAGCTGTGGAACTCTGTTGAGATTGTCCGGTAAAGAGGTGAAAAGGCTGAAATAAGAAGGGGAAAACTTGACGGAGTCCGGAAGCAAGGTCTAGGAACTGCTTGGATCATATGATGTTACCTGGGTGGAGGAATGTTACCCTAAGTGGATGATAAAGAGGCTGAGCCACCAGGAGAAGACTCTGATCTTTAACTGCAGAAGGCAGAGCAGGTCAGGTGACCAGTGAGTGAGCTTGGTCACTGGAGGGTGAGAGACACAGGGGAGAGGCTGGCTATGGAAAGGAGTTAGGAAGCCCCGAGGCTGATATGGAAAGCGTTCTTTGTGTGCAAACTGAAGCCAAAGTTGTAAAGAAGGGTCAGTGACTAGCTAGTGAGGGGCATAATGACTACGGACTGAGGCATGCCTTACAAATGCCCTTTCCAGAGACGGTGGGAACAGCTAGAGAGGAGGGGGAATTGTAGTGGTAGAGCCACGCGCTCATACGCATGCAGTCAACATCACATTTTAGGTACATTTCTCATTAATACGCAGGTAATTCTACAGTGCGGGTCTTACCATCTTCATGCTGTCAACAGGGAACACTGGTGCTGTCTGACTCTACCATTTGACATCACTGAGAGACCATCCCCCTTGGTCTGTCCTGAAGTCAGGCATTCTTCCACAGGCATCCTTTCGTGTGGCAGGAAGCAGTGGAGACTAGAAGCTCTCCACAGCAGGAAGCCTGGAACAGCTCTGCCAGCCAGGGAGCACACTCCATTTTAATGACCCCCTCCCCATCTTCCTAGATTCTGCTTGGCACTCGGGCCACTGTATTTGGACACTGGCACTTCAGACACCCATCCTGGAGGTTGTGGATCATCCTTCTGACTAATCGCTGCCTACACCAGGTCTTCTAGAAGTATGTAGGGGTTTTTCTGTAGACTTGACATTCACTTCCAAAGGAGCATGGCCTCATTGGTGTCTCTAGCCCATCCTGTGTTCTGTAACAAAAAACAAAGTCACTGTGCAGCCCGGAAGCTGAACGTGGGAGTCACCCTCCTGTGAAAGGCCAGTGTAAGGGCTAGTTTGACCAGGGCACATACACCAGTTGTCTGATCAAACACCAGGCTAGATGGCCCTTTAGCATTAAGGTCGATGCAGATTTTGACTAAAACATACTATCATCCCCAGTATGCTTGGCCCAATCAATTGAAAACTTTAAGAGACAGCAGGTGTTGGTGAATGCCTCTAATTCCAGCACTCAGCAGGCAGAAGCAAATGGATATCTGAGTTTGAGGACAGTTTGGTCAACAGAGTGAGTTCTAGGACAGCCAAGATTACACAAGAATCCCTGTCTTTAAACAAAGCAAATAATAATAATAATAATAATAATAATAATAATAATAATGCAACAACAAAAAAAACTTAAGGAAAAAAGTCTATGGGAAAGGAAGACCTTTCTATTTAATATATTTGAGACTGAAATGAAGCTGTTCTCCCAAGGTTACTAGCCTGCCCTAGACCTTTCGGACACAAATCTCCATAAACCCCATGAGCTAATTCCCTAAGACACAGCATATACCAGGCCCCTATACATATGTACATGAAGGAATTCATGTTCGTTCTCTCTCTCTCTCTCTCTCTCCCTCCCTCCTCTCTCTCTCCCTCTCTCTCTTTCTCTCTCTCTCTCTCTCTCTCTCTCTCTCTCTCTCTCTCTCTCTCACACACACACACACACACACACACACATACACACACAGAAACACATGTCTTCTGTCTGAAACTCCAGTGTGATACTAAGACATCCAGATACTGAGTTACTGAATAAGACATGCCTGCTTACTAAAGTAACTGCTTTGGGCCTCTCAGCATCCTTGGTGCACATGTGAACGGTTTGTCACATAGACAAGAAAGATGAATTATAGAAGGGACATGATGTACTCACACTGGTCCAGAGAGTCGATGGGAGAGCCAAGGGTTTCTTTCTGGGGTCACTGGACTGCCTGTTTGCTATTTGTTTCTCTGGTTTTTATTAGCAAGGTAATACAGTTGCTGGCTTTGCATTGGGTAATTGTTACTAGTAGGGTTTTTGCTGTGGTAGTGATTTGGTTCTTAAAGTCACATGATGGGATAGGATTTATTCTAACCACCACTGTGTAGATTTTAAACGCTAAGGCCCACCAAGCATTGTTGACCTTGCTACATAGCTAATGAGTGATAGACCAGAGCTGGAGGTCCAGGAAGCTTCTTAGCCTTGTATATACTGCATACAGCTCTCAGGTCTCCCCTGAAAGCCTCATCTGGGACATACATCACCATCACCATCATGGTGCTGTTGGTGGGCCAGGTCCATACCAGGCAGAAACGCTCAGTTCTTCTCCATAGAAGTGTTCCTTAGCAGTAACACAAGACGATCATCAGGCCTATATGGTAGCTAGCCATCTGGTTTGCCCAAAGTGGTTCAGTAAAGTGGCACAGTGATGACAAGGGTCGGCTCCTTGTCCAGCTTTTGGGAAGAAGAGAGCACACTCTTAATGCTTGTTCTTTGATTCTCTGGAAGAATGATGACCATAATTGTTAGTTATTGGATATATATGACGAGCTACAGCTTCAAAAGCACTTTAGAAATCTCATCTCATGGAGTCTTCAACAGATCAGCAAGAGGCTGGCCAGCCAGCTCCATTTTACATATATGGAAGACACTGAGAGCTTAGCTAGCATTTCCAAGCCTAAGTGGCAGGACAAATTCTAAACCTAAGCCTGTTCCAATGTGCTTGGCCACTCTGAATACCGGTCCCTCTCCCCTGCTAGACTGTGGCTCCCTGCCTTAGAAAGTGCTATTCCAGATACATGGTTGATGCTCCCTGCCCATACA